GTCACTCACCAAATAGTTAGCAATATCGGCATACCAAGGAGCAAAAAGTGCTAGATAGTGCCAAGATGTGCTCGTCCGGGAATGCATCATTGATCTCAAGATCTCCCTTTTGGTCTCCCTGCTTCCTCAAGCCTTGATAAGTGATCCGCTACTTGATTTTGAGTTCCCTTGCGATCCTTGACCTCGATGTCAAACTCTTGCAACAATAAAACCCATCGAATCAACCGTGGCTTTGCATCCTTCTTTGCCATAAGGTAGCGAAGAGCAGCGTGATCCGTGTACACTATCACCTTGGACCCCAACAAATAATCTCGGAACTTCTCAAAGGCATAAATAATGGCAAGAAGCTCTTGCTCAGTTACCGTGTAATTCGTTTGCGCCCCATTAAGTGTCTTGCTTGCATAATAGACCGGGTGGAGAACCTTGTTGTGACGTTGTCCAAGCATTGCTCCAATAGCCACACCGCTAGCATCACACATGAGCTCGAAAGGAAGAGACCAATCGGGTGTGACAATAATAGGTGCCGTGGTGAGCCTTAGCTTCAATTCCTCAAACGCTTTGAGGCATTTCTCATCAAACACAAATTTGGTGTCTTTCTCAAGGAGCTTGCACATAGGATTTGCAATTTTGGAAAAATCCTTGATGAACCGCCTATAAAATCCGGCATGCCCTAAGAAACTTCGAACACCTTTGACGGAAGTGGGTGGAGGAAGCTTGGAGATAATCTCGATCTTAGCTCGGTCAACCTCAATGCCATGTTTTGAAATTTTATGCCCCAATACGATGCCTTCATCCACCATGAAATGGCATTTCTCCCAATTTAGCACAAGGTTGGTTTCCTCACATCTCTTAAGCACTTGTCTAAGATTGTTAAGACAATGCTCAAAAGAGTCACCTACTACCGAGAAGTCATCCATGAAGAGCTCTAGAAAATCCTCCACCATGTCGGAGAAAATGGACATCATGCCCCTTTGAAAAGTAGCCGGAGCATTGCACAAACCAAATGGCATCCGACTAAAGGCAAAAGTTCCATAGGGACAAGTGAATGTTGTTTTCTCTTGATCCTCCAATGCGATGTTGATTTGGTTGTAGCAAGAATATCCGTCAAGGAAATAATAGAATGACCTTCCCGCTAGCCGATCAAGCATTTGATCAATAAAAGGTATAGGGAAATGGTCTTTGCATGTGGAACTGTTGAGCTTCCGATAATCCATACACACCCTCCAACCGGTTATCGTTCTTGTTGGGATGAGCTCGTTTTTATCATTTTCAATTACGGTCATGCCTCCCTTTTTCGGTACACATTGCACCGGGCTCACCCACGAACTATCGGAAATAGGGTAGACAACCCCGGCATCCAACCACTTGATGATTTCTTTCTTTACCACCTCTTGCATTGACGGGTTCAACCGTCGTTGATGTTCCACACTTGGCTTTGTGTCACTCTCCAATTGGATCTTGTTTCACAAATTCCCGCGGGAATTCCTCGAATGTCCGCAATTGTCCACCCAATGGCTTGTCTATGCTCCTTCAAGACTTACAACAATTGCTCTACCTGCACATCATTTAACAAAGACGAAACGATTACGAGTAAAGTATCATTAGAGCCAAGAAATTTATACCTTAGGTGCGGAGGGAGTGGTTTGAGCTCTAGTTGTGGTGGCTCAATGATTGATGGCTTTGCGGGAGGTGTGGCCCTATTCTCCAAGTCAAGGGAAAGCTTTGCTGGAGTATAAGTGTAGGATCCAAGACCCTCCAATGCATTTACCGACTCCATGTACCCATCCATGTCTTCACCATCAAAGTTAACCAAGATAGCCGCCAATGCCTCACCAAGGCATTGTTCTTCCATTTTCATTTCGACGGCACCTTCTACCTCATCAACAACATCTATCACTGAAATGCTCTCATACTCATGGGGTAGTTTCATACCCTTGCTCGCTTGAAATGTGACTTCTTCATCATTCACCCGGAATTTAATTTCATTCCGCTCCGAATCCATGAGTGCCCTTCCCGTGGCCAGGAATGGTATCCCCAAAATGATAGGGATTTCTTTATCAACCGCACAATCAAGAATTACAAAATCGGCGGGCAAATGAAACTTCCCCACTTTTACAAGTACATCGTCAACAATTCCCACCGGGCGTTTGATTGACCGATCGGCCATTTGCAATCTCATACTAGTGGGTCTTGGCATACCTAACCCCGCTTGCTTATAGATGGAAAGAGGCATTAAGTTGATGCTAGCCCCATTATCACATAAGGCTCTTGCAAAATCACGGGCCCCGATGGTGCAAGGAATGGTGAAAGCTCCCGGGTCTTCTTTCTTTTGGACTTTGGTTGTGGCAATAATAGAGCTAACCTGGTGAGTCATGTTTACTACATCATTCTTTGTGGTCTTCTTTTTGGTGATCGAATCCTTTAAATATTTAGCAAACCCCGGCATCTCTTTAAAAGCTTCCACAAATGGAATATTCACTATTAATTGCTTGAGAATGTCGTAGAATTTTTCAAGTTTGCTATCATCAATCTTTCTCGCGAGCATTTGAGGAAATGGGGGAGGAGGTCTAGGAATAGGTGGAAGAGCTTTTGGTGTCTCTTTCACTTTTTCCTTCACCTCTTCCCGGTTCTCTTCTTGCCCATTCGACTCATCCGGAATCTTTTCAACCTCGACAACACTTGGCTCTTCAACCTCAACCCTTTGTTCGGACTCTTCTGCTTCAACCGTTTGTTCACCCTCTCCGTGTAGCACTTTCCCACTCCTAGTAGTGATTGCCATGATGTGAGAAGTTGGGCCACTCCCACTACCTCTTGGATTTGCAACCGTGTCACTAGGGAGTGTTCCCTTTTGTTTTGGATTTTGCTCTTTGGAGAGGTCTCTCATTTGCATCTCCAATTTTTGGATGGAGGTGGTATGAGATCCAACAACCTCGGTCATGTTCCTCATTGAAGTATTGGATTTTTCTTGATTTTTCAACACTCGCTCGAGCATAGCTTCCAACTTAGATTCACTAGAAGACCCTTGGTTCGAATATTGACCCTTTGGAGGAACATAGGGGTTTGAACTCCGGTTGGAAAAGTTGTTGCTATTGTTCCAATTCCCTTGGTTTGAGCCACCTTGGTCATGTCGCCATTGTTGGTTGCCTTGCCCTTGCGGGTTCGGCCTCCATTGACTTTGCTGCCCCTGACCCTGATAATGTTGTCGTTGATACCCTCCTTGAG